TTTTTTTTTTTTTTTTTTTTTTTTTTTTTTGAACAAACCTTGCATTCATAATCATTTCAAACATCATACAGCCTTAGGAGAGCAGTCTTAGCCAGAGTATCTGCTTCCATATTGTTTAGCCTTGGAACAAAAGTAAAAGAAATAGCTAAAAAGGAGTTACACAACTGGGAAATATCAAATAACACACTCTGTGCTTCAACAATCATTTCCCCGGAGGTGATGGCCATTATGAGGGACTTGGAATCTGACTTGACAGTCAGATGACGCAAACCCATAGCCCGAGCTGATTTTAATCCAGCTTTAACCGCAATAGCTTCTGCAGCCAAGGCAGAGCCGACAATGCTGCGGTTTGAAGACGTTTGGTGAATCGTAACGTTGTTGTTATCTTTAAAGATGCAGCCAAATCCTTCACGGCCAGTGCCAGCATTCCACGCTGCATCTACAAAGCAATGAACATCAACAGAAGAAGTATTCACCCTAGATACCTGCACACGACTACCTTGTGCCACTTTACACTTCATTTTCTCATGTTGAGCAGTTTGCCAGATACGGGCTTCTTTCACTGCCCATAGTATCACTTCCTGTTCAGAGCACTCACGATTTTCAAACATAAGTTTATTTCTCCCAACCCATAAGTACCAGAAAATCCACGGGTAGAGAGCAGTGTCACCGAGTCCAGTTGGAGGAAGATTTATCATTCTGTTACATGCCTGCAGTAGGGCCTCCGGAGAATTAATAGCAGCTGGGTTTGGCTTGTGAATAGCCGGTACCAGATCCCATACTCGGGTCGCAAACGGGCATTGGAGCAACACATGTCTCTCTGTTTCTATCACCCCACAGCGTTTACACCGTCCTTCAACAGCAACTCCTCTTCTGAGTAGGTTTGCACCCACTGGTAATGCTTTGTTCTTAACTTTCCAGAGGAGATGTTTCAGTTTTGGGGAAGTCTTGACTTGCCATACTTCTGAGTTCCAATTAAAGTTTGCCCCCTCCTGCGCAGTGTTGACTTTGCTGAGAGCATAGCCAGATTTAGTTGAATAGATACCAGACCTCTCCGGAAGCCAGACAAGTTCATCTCTCATATTGAATTCACTAGGAATCAGAGTTTTTATCATCTCCTCATACTGAGGCAAGTGGTTCCTGATAGCCTCTACATTCCATTCTCCGGTTTGTTCTTCTAATAGATCAGCCACTTTGAGGTTCTTGTTGGATTCAGTTGGTGGACCGATAGGGCATAAAGGTCGATCAGTAGAGAGCCACGGATCAGACCACACATTGATGTTTAAACCATTACCCACAATCCATCCAAGGCCTTTTAAAAGCACTTCTTTCCCTGCCATCACTCCTCTCCACCCATGTGAAGCCGATTGAGGTGTCGTTGAGCTCAAGAATGATTGGGAATGACAAGCGAGTCCTAAACGATGCTATCATTCCAACTATATATTAATCAAAACTTAGGTGTATATACACACATCAAATCAGATTTTACGAAATAAATTTTTGGTATATATACACACACACACACACACCACCATATCTCAAATGAAGACACACTTATAATCCAACAAAGACCACACGTACGTAAAGAGTCTCATGTTTAGTCCAAACCACCATGAGTTGGATCAAACTTCTAAAGCCAAAGTCCCCTTCTCATGGGAACTAAAACCTGGAGTTTCAAGAAAGAAGAACAGAAGTGGCCGTGATCAGCTACAATGGACGCTTACGCCACCTCCATGTCCTCATGCTGAGTATAGCTACGAAGTGTTACAGAGTCCTCTCGCTGTCTGCCCTTTCACGCCTTCCAACATGGTCAAGACTTCAAGGTCTGGTTTGTCAAGTTTTAGAAAGAAAGACGTTGACCCTTTTCTTGAAGCTTACAGAAAATGTTTAGAGAATAGTCCTATTCGCATCTCTTCTTCCATGGGAAGAAACGTACGAGTTGGTGATCAAGATTGTTACACGACGGGTAACAAGAAGAAGTCTTTGCTTTTATGGCTTTGGAGTAAGTACTCTTGCAAGTTTCGTACTGATGGTTGGAGTACGGTCTCTCGATTCCGTAAATCCAAGAAGAGAATTGATTCCACAAACATATTTTGATATAGTTACAGAAAATCTTTGCTATCCAAACAGTAATTTTTTCTACTTATTACCTTTTGTTAACAACATCTACTTGAATAATAAGAAAACGGAACACAATTTTTTCCATTACCTTTGAACAAATTTGTGAAAAATTTACCGATGTGATACTTATAAAAATAAACTATTTATAAGATCATACAATTAGTCATTTTACATGAAATTAATAGTTATTTATAGAGAAATAGTGTTATCCCAATATATTTGAATGGACACATCATTAAGAATATAGACATCACAAATCTCTAGTGTCTCTACCACCCAATCTCGGCTCTCGACTACGGTTACATGGGACAGTTATCCTGGACCCGTGGATTCTTATTAGTTATTTTTATGTTAATTTTTAAAAGTGAATTTCACAGCAAAGTGACTTATATATATTTTTTACCTTTCAATTTAATTTTTTTATATTATTTTATGTTTTATTTTAAAATAAACAGGTTTTAATAGTATTGATATTTTTATATATAGAAAATTCAAAATGATTTGGTATATTTTTGGAGATTTAAAATATTGTGGAAATTATCAATAATTCACGACATCAACTTATATATATAGTATATATAATTTGTGAATATTTTCAATAGCATATAATCTAAAAAAAATAAGTTACATGTTTTAAAGTTACACTAGGTGGTTGCCAGTAATTTTGTGGGTACAAATACTTTATAAAAATATATTATACTATATTTTGATGAAACTAAAATACATTTTTAATTATTCAAAATCAAATGTTAGTTTTATTTGAAACTAAAATGTTAAGTGTAAATTGATATGAATTTCTAATATAACAAATTTTCATTTTAATTCTTTATATATGAATACTTTAATATATCTTTTGGATTTTGGATTATAATTATATTGTTATACTCTCTATATTTTCCTTAGTTTGTTTTTATAAATCATTATATTTCATTTTTAGATCATTTGGAAAATGATATTAATTAGTTCCAAAATTACCAATCAAATTAAGACAATCTATTTGAAAATTCTTCTTTGAAAAAAACATAAGTATAAATCACTTGAAGGACTTCTCAAATATACATGAGGATTAGGTGGGTTACCCGTAAATTTGTGGATACAAATAATTCGTGGAAACAAATATTTCATTTTTCAAAATTAATATTTTTTTGGTTATATATATTCTCAAGAAGTAAATTTATATATACTAATTACTTTTATTATTTTATGACTTTTAAAAATATAAAATATAATTTTTAATATTTTATTAGATTTTATCATCAACTATAGTAAAAAATTAAGAAATAATTAATGTATGTTCCAAATGTCATTTCCTAATTAATACCTCAAATAATAACGATTTCTGAATATCATTCAGTCTAATGTTACATTACGTTTGTACATCTAATAATATTTCTAAAAATAATATATGTACAACATCACAAATAATATTTTCTTGAGATTATATGTACATGATAATAAATGCTAAAAGTTCAAAATAACTTCATCGGCTTAACATAGGTGAATTATTTAACGTTAAAAATACAAAAAAAAAATATTGCTATAAATAACCAATCAATTCCGGTGAATAACTTTCAATTAAATAATTCAGATAAATGAAAACAATTAGACACACCACACTATATAATTGATATGGTTTGTAAGTTAGATTTATATTATCATTCATATTTTTAATGTGATTATAATACTTTCTTTTGCATGATATTTTAACATGCAAAAGAAAGTTTTTTACAAAAATTCTTAAACAGATTATTTCAAATACATTTTAAAAATAATTGTTTTTACAATGATATAGATTTTTACAGTTTTGTTGATGGAAAAGTATTTTATTTAATATATAAAATTATTTTATAATTTACTTTAAAATTAAATTATATATACATGTTTTAAAAATAAAATATAATCAGTAGTTGGTAATATATAACATACAAAGAAACTTTTACAATCATTTTTTTTATAAAAATCATTTAAATTTTTAAGTTTATTAAACGCACAAAATAATTTATGACACAAATACGAGCATTGATAACACAATTTTTTTAAATACTTATGTGTGATTATTATTTATGTTAAATATAATTTGTTTGGTTATTGATATAAGTTAGATATTGATTTAGTTTTTGAAATTGAATTAAGTAAATCAAAAATAAAAAAACTATCAACCAATCAAATTAAAAAAAAATTAATTGAAAAATTATTCTATCAATGACATATCATTAAAGTAAACTAAATGATTTTTCAATTAATATTTAGGATTTAATATATAGTAGGATTTAATTATTTTTTAAAGTGATACCTCAACAATTATATCAATTTTTCATTGAAAATTATTGGAAATTTGTAAAATTATATATTTGAATATTTTCATATATATATATATAGTGAGTTGAAATATTATAAGGTCTAGATTATTTAATTTTCTGATATCTGTTATTTATTGTATCCACTACTAATATACATATATTCCAAACAGTGTATATAATTGTTTTTTTGTAGTATCACATGTATTTATATGTGTACTATAAATTTTATAATGTAATCTATGATAATTAATTATTTATATAAAAAATTATGTTAAGTCATCTATATTAAAGATGTTTAATTGTTTGACTGGTAACATATATTAGATAAAGTAATTCTAGAATTAGTTTCTTTAAAAAAAAATAATTAGATAAATCAAAATTGAAATATAATCAATCAATCAATTTAAAAGAATTAATTATAAACTTCAATTATGAGTGATATCTAATCAAAAATTACTAAATTGACTTCTCAATTAATATAGTAGGATATTTCTAACTGTTTGAAAATCTCGCATTTTTTATTTTTATTTTAAATTTAGAAATTTATTATAGAAATTAAGTTAATATATGGCTTTTACTTTTCTTAATTTACCTTATTTTATTGTTTCCATTTTATTATGAAATCAACATTTATTTTTGAAATATTGATATTTCAAATATGGGCCTTTAAGAATCAAATGGGCCGATGTCTTATTTAAACAATATTTTTTTTTTGAAAGGGAAACTATAGTGATTGATTGAGTGCGCGAGAAGAGAAATGGCAGAGGAGGCGATACTAGGGTTTCTGAAGAACAACGATGAGATCCCACATTCAGGTGATTTCTCTGTTGAACACGATCTTGACCACGAAGAAGTCAAAAACGTCATCAAGAGCTTACAGGGTTTTGGTTACATCGAAGCTAAGGTACGTACGTACCAGTAGATTGTGAGAGGATCTATCTAGATAAGTGATTTTAAAGCATTGTTGATGTGACAGGCGGTTAGAAAGGAGTTCTGGGATTTGACTGATGAAGGGAAGAAATATGCGGCGGAAGGGACGCCTGAGTTTCACTTTTTCTCGGCTGTTCCTGAGGAAGGCACCATATCCATTGATGATCTAAGGGTGATTTGCTATTTTGTGCATCTTCTAATTTATTTTAGCTTCTTCTTGACTTGGTGGTTGTGGTCATGTTTAAAACTACTTGTTGTTGTCTTTGTTTCCAGAGAATTTTAGATCCTTCTGTATTCCAAGTTGGAAGTACACAAGCTCCAAAGAAACAGTGGGTTGCAATGGGAAACCAAGTCTCTAGAATGGTATTGCATTCTTTATAGTATTGAATTGTTTTTTTTTTTTCTTTTCTTTTTTCTGCATATATCTATTTACATCTTTCTGTAGGTTCAACATGTTGAAGATACAGTGAAGGAGATGCTTTTACAAATGCAGCAAGGACTGGTTTGCTTCAGAACTATTGTTATTTAGAATTCTAAAATTCTGATTTATTAATTTATGGGGACTAATTAATTAAGTTGTTGGTGTTTCTCACCTTCAGGAACTTGACAAAGAAAGTCTCAAATATCTTAAAAACAGGAAACTAATCATACCCGCAAAGTAACTAACAGCTGCTGCTTTTCATTTGCATATCGTTTTTGTTTTGTTATCACTTTGGACATTATTTAATGCTTTCAGTTCTGTTTGTTCTTCTTAGGACATGGACGGGCTACTCTGATGTAAAGAAAGGTCCCAATTATGCTCCCAAAAGGAAGATTTTTCCCTCAGATTTGACTCGAGAAAATCTAGAAAAGTATATACTATACCCACTCCACTTGTTAATTAATGATATTGTTGTCATCAATTAGTGTCAAATAAGAAAAGTACTCACATGCATGCAGCTGGGAAGAGTTAGAGCTGAAGGAGTATAACTTCAATGCTAAGGGACAACCTCTTGATGCTGGCCATCTTCACCCCCTTCTAAAGGTACTTTAATGCAAAACGAGCTGATGTGTGTGTGTGTGTTTATATAACTCAAGTCACAAAGAAATAAATTTTTACTTGATGGGGCTACCTTTTTTCTTGCACAAGTTTGGAGTAACCATTGCTTCTCATAGCCTGCTTGTCTATTAATTATTATTTTGCTCGGTTTCAGGTGCGGAAGCAGTTCAAAGACATATTTTGTCAGATGGGGTGAGAGACTTTTACCGCGTTACTAGTATTTCTTCAATCTTTTTTTCTGCTACCGGGGAATAATGACTTTTGTGGCCACAGGTTTGAAGAGATGCCAACAAATAACTTTGTTGAGAGCAGGTATCTACTCTCTATCAAAGCACCTCATGCTAACTATCGGTTTTTTTCACAATTGATCTAGTTATTCAGAAAATATTTTGGATATCTTAAATATTTTTATTCCTCTACCCTGTAGCTTCTGGAATTTCGATGCACTTTTCCAGCCGCAGCAGCACCCTGCTCGTGACTCTCATGACACCTTCTTTTTAAAAGGTTGAATCTCTCACTCGGCTGGTATATATATGGCAGCTCAACGTTATTCTAACTCTTAGTTGTAATATATGTTAATCTATTTGATTGTAGCTCCTTCGACGACAAGGGAATTACCAGAAGATTATGTTGAAAGGGTGAAACAAGTCCATGAGTCTGGTGGATATGGATCACGAGGGTATGTAACAACTTGTTTTTGATAGCTTACTAGCTTCTGATACTACTCAACTAAACTACATTTTTAATTACTACAGGTATAATTATGAGTGGAAAAGAGAGGAAGCAAACAAAAATCTTCTCCGTACCCACACAACAGCGGTGTCGTCTAGGATGCTTTATGCACTCGCAAAGGTACTGACTATATTCAGATTATATTCAATGAAGGTGAAGCTTACAAGCTTGAGCAACATTGTACTCGTTTTCTTTGTAGGGACCTTTCACTCCCAAGAAGTACTTTTCTATAGACCGTGTCTTCAGAAACGAGGCTGTTGACCGAACCCATCTGGCAGAGTTCCATCAAGTTGAAGGTAAATTAATTAGCTAATGAGTTTTGTAACATTTTTTTGAGAATTTTTTTACGGTAGTCATTAAATCATTAAAATTCGCACCGTGTTATTTCCTATTAAAAAGTTTCGTCACTTTCGAACTCAGGTTTAATCTGTGATCGTGGTCTTACAATGGGTGATCTCATTGGTGTATTACAAGAATTCTTCTCTCGATTAGGTCAGTTTTTTTTTTAGTTACTTCTGCCACTTGCATCTTTATTTTGATGCTTCAGAGTCACTTAGAAGAAGAAAAAAAAAAGGCTTATCGATTGTGCTTTTATCGATTGTGCTTTTATCGATTGTGCTTTTTACAGGGATGTCCAAGATACGTTTCAAGCCTACATACAACCCATACACTGAACCAAGCATGGAGATTTCCGGGTACATTCGAACAAACCATCATCTCTTTATAAAAAAAACAAGACATTAAAAATTATTGTGTCTGCTTGATTTATCAGTTACGATGAAGCAAAAGAGGAATGGCTAGAGATTGGAAACTCTGGCATTTTCAGACCCGAAATGCTACAGCCAATGGGTCTTCCAGATGATGTTCGAGTCATTGCATGGGGTCTCTCTCTTGAAAGGTACAATAGAAAGATAAGACTCTCAGTGACATGTTTCTTTTTTTTTAATCACAGAAAGTTTGCTGATTCTTTCTGTTTTTTTTTTGCTTCATAAACAGACCAACAATGATTTTATACAAAACTGAGAACATCCGTGAACTGTTTGGACACAAGGTACAAGATCTTTACTTACTACAACATATTTGAATAAAAGTAATAGTAATTCTCACTGTATACCAATTTGAATAAAAGTAAACAGTAATTCTCACTGTTATTGGTATACACAGGTGCAGCTTAAAAAAATTAAAGAGAGTCGCATGTGTCGCATAGGAATCGAGTCAGCCTGATTTGGATACATGCAAAGTGCTGTACACAATCTATGATCCTGCAAATTTACTTTTGTTTTTACTCATATATTATATCAGTTGAAGAAAGATTATATCAACTTGTTGTTTATAAGACATTAAAAGAAGGGGGAAATTGGATAAATACTTCTTAGTGTGATTATATTTTGAAAACTCCAATTAATTTTAAGTGAAATGACTATAATATCCGATTTAAATTGTTTAAGTTATCTAATATCTAAATCACTATTTTACTTTTTAAAAGAAACATTGCGTTAAAATTCATTAAACAAATCAGACATTTTCCGTATTTTAAAACAGTAAACGATCAATATCTTTATAATATAAGATAGTTAATTTACTCCATTCATCGCTTCCTAAACAAACTCTTTGACGTTTCATCACATTTAGTCATAACCACTTTTTTTTTCTACTAAACCTTTAAATACATGAGTCATTAATCCCATTTAACACCTAGTGTTTTTTTTTTTGTTAAATACAAGCCGGCCCATAACCTTGTTCATAGGATCTTTTACATATAAAACCAATTAGTCAGTGTGATAGCATTTTCAAAAAACAAAAACCAATTGGTCAGCTATCCGATTTACATAAGTAAATTTGTTTCTATGATTCTGGAGCTTGTGCTGTTTCTTATACATACTTTGGCATATATGCATTATCCATAATAGTAGCCTTAGAGCATGTTTATTGGGAGAGTGCTTAAGGGGGTGCTTAGAGAAGTGGGGTGCTTAGTTTTGAAGGGAGAAAGTGTTAAAAGTGCTTAATTAAGCACTTTCAACACTCTCTCTCTTCAAAACTAAGCATTTTACTCTCTTAAGCACCCTCCTTAAGCACCCCCAATAAACATGCTCTTATACTGCATTGCAACATTTCTGCTAGGATCTCAGATAGTTATAGTCAACAATTTAGATAACTTCATTACTCAACTTAAGATAAAATGTGGACGTGCCGGAGTGGTTATCGGGCATGACTAGAAATCATGTGGGCTTTGCCCGCGCAGGTTCGAATCCTGCCGTTCACGATTCTTTGGTTGTACTTGTTTATATCTTTTTTTTTCCTTTTTGGTCCATTGCATTGAAATAATTTATTTCGTACTTTTAAGTAATTTGCTGTCTCATGAAATAGTTGTACATAATAATGTTTTTATACAAATTCCTACATATGCATCGAATTACAAATGTTTGGCCGATGTCATAGAGGATTAAACAGAACTTGTATCCATTCGAAAAATTATTTAAATATCCGAAACATTATGCGTGATTTTAGTTAACTTGTATTGCGTTGGATACGTACAAGACAGACAAATGATATTTTTATTGTATATATCCATAAAATAGGCGGTTATAAGCGTTTCCTAATTAGGTGAATATACACACATCAAAACAGATTTTACGAAATAAACTTTTGGTATATATACACATGCATACACCACCAAATCTCAAATGAAGACACATTTATAACGAATCAAACAAAGACCACATGTGAAGAGTCTTTAAACAGACACGACTCTATGTTTAGTCCAAACCACCATGAGTTGGATCAAACTTCTCAAAGCCAAAGTCCCCTTCTCAAGGGAGCTAAAGCCTGGAGTTTCAAGAAAGAAGAACAGAAGTGGCCGTGATCAGCTACAATGGACGCTTACGCCGCCTCCCAACGACTTGGTTAGAAGATAATAGATGTGTAATGAAGATGAGAGACTCTATGGGTATGTATCTCCTATTGGAGATACTTGTAACAAAATAAATATCAAGGATGAGAAGTTGAAAATAAATGAGGCAAGCACATCGTTCTATTATAACGAAATTTCATTCCACAACCTGCTTGTACACAAGTAGAGATTGTTGGATCATTATAACTTTTTGATCTCTGAAAGATAAAAACACACATAAAACCAACGACACAAGTTGCATGTTTTGCTTATTTTTGAACATATATATCTTACTTTTAAGTAAAGAGTTACACAGAGTCGGGCACGAGCTGAGAGTCGCCCAAGAGACAAACGCATTGAGTTGTCGGCTCGACAGTTCTTCGAACAATTGCAATGTGTTTGCAAACACCATCCGCTCCCAAGTCTTGATCATATCTTATGTAGACAGTGACATTCCTTAAACTCTTGAGTACGGTCTCATATGGCAGATTTTCCGAAGTCTCTAACACTACGTCCAAAATCTTTAAATCGGACATGTTGTGCTGCAACAACCCAAGAAGAAACACACTTTATATATAAACAAGAAACCATTAAATATATATATATATAAAAACAAGAAACCATTAATTAATTAATAAAAAAAAAACCTACATTCAGCCACCGATCTCGATAAAAGAATACAATTTCCATATACAAGTGAATCCAGTCATGTTCTTCCCAATCTGATTTCTGCAACTGAGAAGCAAACAAAGATGGTGAAATTAAAGCAGCTACATTGTCAATGTCATTCATCAAAGTGTTACCTACCTTGTACAAAAATCGACTTTTATCAGCAAAAGCCTCCTCTGAAGGCCACTTCTCAGGCAACTTCTTGGCATCGAAGAACTGCTTCGGATAAATATCACTCTTGATCCCTAGAGACAAGCCCCAAAGATACATTAATCTATTATAGTTATTACTAAATCAATTACTAGTAAATTAAACCTTTAGGTCTTGAGGTAAAACAAGAGAAATCCATCTGGCCTAAATCTCTTTGGTCAACCTGAGTCTGGAAAACAACAAAGGAGGAGGTAGCTGGATCCTGAGCAATCAAAGTAATGTAATACGCCACAGGCATGAAGGTACAAACTAGAACGTATTTCTCTACTTCGTGAAGATGCAAGTTGGTCCCCTGACATGGAAGAGAAAGAGACTAATTAAGAGTTATTACGCAAGAGATGATGGTGGATACAAAAAAGTTACCTGTAGCATATTGTAACGATGAAGTCCCACCTTGGCATAAAGCTGCACTACAAGAGGACAATCTGCTCCACCTTTATGCACACTCATACCACCAAAACGACAAGGAGCACCCTCGATCTCGATATCGAAACCCTAAATATAAAACTCTCAACAATTAGGTAGCAACTAGGAAGATTAATATATCACCAAATTCAATTCAAATCAAATAAAAGTAAGTAGGAAATAAAATACATCTGTTTCATCCACTTTACGCCAAAAAAGCTCCTCAGCCTTACGAAGAGTCTCTTCTTCTCTTAGGGCAATCTCCTCCCTCTGAGCCTTACAGCGGGCCTTGTGCTTCTTCTCCCAGCGCCGATATGAACGTGTTGGCCTACGATACTCGGAATCAACAACATTTAGTTGAGCTGGATTACTCATCAATTCATCTGGATTCTTCTCACCAGGCTGATTCGTTTTTATCGTCGAGTCCATGCCCTAATTCTCTCAACTGTAATTTTAGACAACTATAAAAGTTTCCATTCTTTTTTCATTAAAAAAAAATCTTTTTTCCATTATTAAATTTTAGACAACTATATAAAAGTTTCAATCCCTGATTTTTTCATATCACTAACAACACATTCAAGTGTCAACTACAACCTCTAATCATGTCATGCACTCTAACAATTACTACTAACTCTTCTATAACTTTCAAGCAACTAATTTATTCTTCTTCTTTCTTTTCTTTCCACTATAATTTTTAATTAAAATGAAAATATAAAGTAATACTTTTTGCAAAAAAAATAAGAAAATAAAGTGATACTTTTTTGCAAAAAATAAGAAAATATAAAGTGATACAAAACCGGAAAATTAGAAAAATCAATTATTTGATAGAAAACCAAAACTAAAATTATTAAACATAAGTTTATATTTCATATTATGATTGATTTAGGATTAGTATAACCTTTAAATATATATGGATACTATCTACAATATTGCAATAATTCGACACATAATCTCATCAAAACTCATGATTAAAATAATTAAATAAATAAATGGTTAAAAATTATTTTCACTAGCTATTATATTACTTATATAAACCGCTAATAATTAATAACAATTACAGTTTGTTATAAAATAAAGAAAAAATGATGTCAGAAACATTAAAAATGCAGTTATGTAGATGCTATACTGAATGTACTATTAGATGATAACTATGTCTTGTACAATTTAGATATTCTAGGAAATATTCTCTTTTAGATTTGTATAGTTTCTAGGATCTCTCAACTATTTGTACTATGAATGAACGATGAACGATTTGATCGTGGATCTAAATATGGGAGATCACCAGGCACACGTGTGTTGGTACAATTGGTGGAACGAATAAATTTGTTTTTATACCTTCTACTCCTTTAACGGAGCCTCTACATGTGATCTACTATGATCCTGAAACCACAGCTACACCACAAAAGATCATTATTGACTGCCCAACCCTTCCTCCTTCTAAGCATGTTGTCGCCATCCTGGATTTTCTCGAGACACCAAACTTCAGGTCCACTAAATACAAGCTTTGAAATTAGTACAGTTTTATTTCATATTGTTACTTTGTCATAAGGACGTGAATCAATTTACCTATTATATTATGCATTTGCTTCAAATTAAAGTTTGTAGGAACTATTTGTTCCAATTTGCCAAAATAGTTCATTAGCAACATTATAAGTGAAATTTTAATATGAGGTTTACTCAATATTCAACAGAACACTATTGTGCTTGTGGTATAAATATATTGTGATACATGTGTGATGTGTCGTCAATGAATTCATGAAATGTATATTTCTTCAAGGATTTTTTCCACTATATAAGTTTTAACTAAAATATAAAGAAGATATAAGTTTTTATATAAGTTTTAACTAAAATATAAAGTAGATATAAGTTTTAACTAAAATATAAAGTAAAATATAAATGAAAAAAAAAAATTTAATACGAAAGCCAGTTAAAAAAAACTAAAATATAAAGTAGATACAACACTGGAAAGAAAAATCAAAAGTTTTATAGAAAACCAATACTCTGAAATTTATCAACCATAAGTTTCTATTTCAAAATTATATGATTTATTTAGGATATTATAACCTTTTCAGCATATGGATACAATATAACTATAATTCGACACATATTTTCATCAAAACTCATGACTGAAATAATTCGATAAATAATTTGGTACAAATTATTTGCACCAGCCCTTATATTATCTATTTATATAAAGTAGAATATATAAATAAAAATGTATTTATGTAGACCGATTCTTATAAACGTCGTGCCGTCTTTTTACCTTTATAAACTCCACTACACGCCGTTTCATTTACTGAAGAATAGTAAAGCAGACAAACCGGTATCTTTCCGTGTGTAGAGAGAGAGAGTCCAATCCATCACTATCGTGTTTCTCCTCCGACAAACTCTGTCTGAGACTCCGAGGAAGAGTGAGTGAGAGAGAGAGCGATAGACATGGAGAGCAGCGAGGAAGACGACGACTTGCCCTCCATCGAAAGCATAACTCCTCAATCAAAGATCGATTCTGTTCACCAATCTCTCACCGAAAAGGTCCCTCCTTTATCTCTCTGTTTCGCTACTTTTAGTAACTTGTTTCTTTCTCTGAATCAAATCATTTCCACTTTGAGATAGATAGTTCTCTCACTTGGGTCCTTTCGAATCTTACTCATTGATCAAAAAGCCCTAGACTTTAACATAGATTTTAGTAGTCCCTGAGAAAGTACTAACCTTAGATTACTTCTTCTGTTCTGTTGATTTGGTGAATGTTAAACATTGCAGGGGATTAGAAAGCTGTGCTGTGAGCTTTTGGATTTAAAGGATGCTGTGGAGAATATGTGCGGTGATATGCGTACCAAGTACCTCGCTTTCTTGAGGTAACACACACGCTACTAATTGCAATTTGATTAACAGATTCTTGTTTTGGTTGTGTGATATGTATGGCATGAGTATATGAGAGTCTCTGTTCCACGCAGAGAGTTTTCTGTTATAGATTATAAATAAGAGCGGCATGCTCATATCTTTATGTATTGTTTTGTGTAGAATATCTGAAGAAGCGGTGGAGATGGAGCATGAGTTAGTTGAGCTACGGAAGCATATATCTTCCCAAGGGATACTTGTTCAGGATCTGATGTCTGGACTTGGCCGTGAGATGGATGAATGGAAACGATCCTCTGGTGATGCAGATGACTCAGATAGCTTTGAGGATAATGAGCCATTGCCTAATGAAATAACCGATCCAAAGTCTGAGTTCCTGGAGAAGATTGACCTTCTTTTAGCTGAACATAAAGTTGATGAAGCACTTGAGGCGATGGATGCAGAGGAAAGAAACAGTCCTGAACTTAAAGGAGCAGCTGAGATGTCCTCTTATAAGTCTGCTTTTACCGAAAGAAAGGCGGTTCTTGAGGAACAGCTTCTTAGGATCGCTAAACAACCTTCCGTTAGTGTTGCTGAGTTGAAGCATGCGTTGAATGGGTTGATCAGATTAGGAAAAGGACCTTCAGCTCACCAACTGCTTCTCAAGTTTTACGCCACAAGCCTACACAGAAGAATCGAGGCCTTTCTTCCTTCATGTTCAACCTGTCCAAACACGTTCCCAGCCACACTCTCTAAGCTTGTTTTCTCTAATATCTCATTGGCAGCAAAAGAATCCGCAGCCATGTTTGGTGATGATGACAACCCCGCGTACTCCAACAAAGTTGTTCAGTGGGCAGAGAGGGAAGTTGAGTATCTGGTTCGGTTGGTTAAAGAGAACGCAGCTCCTTCCGAGACGGTTTATGCCTTGCGTGCAGCGAGTGTGTGTCTTCAAGACTGTCTTAACTACTGCAAAGTGTTGGAACCACAGGGGTTGATTTTGTCTAAGCTGTTCTTGGTTTTGTTCCGGCCTTATGTTGAAGAAGTGTTGGAGCTTAATTTTAGACGGGCGAGAAAGGTTATCTTTGACTTGAATGAGACTGATGAAGGGTTAGAATCATCTTCTGACTTTGTTGCGGTGTTATCTGAGTTTGCAATCGCTTCAGACACGACAATGACAGATTGTAGCATCCGGTTCATGCAAATTGTGCAAGTAAGTTACCTTCTTAACGCTGTTTTTAGTATTGTCTATGATTCTAAGAGACATAAGTTTCGAAGCTTTATTTGTTCTTTCAGGACATACTTGAGCAGTTGACACATCTAGCTGTGCTACACTTTGGAGAAAGTGTGTTAGCGAGGGTTCTGCAACTGTATGATAAATACATCGACTTTCTAATCAAGGCCTTACCTGGCCATGCAGATGAAGACGCTCTTCCAGAGCTTCAAGATCATACCATTCTCACTAGAGCCGAGACAGATTCAGAGCAGCTTGCTCTTCTTGGAGCTGCGTTCACAATACTAGACGAACTTTTACCAAAATCGCTTGTTAAAGTCTGGAACCTCGAGATCGAAAACGGTGGAGGAGATGGTGGTGATAGTAGTACTAGTAGTCCTTCTCTGATCAGTAGCTCTGCACCGGAGTTGAAAGAGTGGAAACGCCACATGGCTCAATCATTTGATAAACTTAGAAACTACTTCTGCCTCCAGTTTGTGTTGAGTTTCATCTACTCTAGGGAAGGACTAACACGGTTAGATGCACTTATCTATTTAACAGAGACTCCAGATGACTTGCATCTTCCCTCTTTACCGTTTCAGGTCACATCCTCTTTCTTTGATCAGGTTTTATAGCTCTTGGTTGATTAACTTTGTGTCTCTCTTCATATGCAGGCATTGTTCTCTAAGCTGCAACAGTTAGCCATCATTGCTGGGGATGTTCTTCTTGGAAAAGAGAAGCTGCAAAAGATTCTACTAGCTAGATTAACCGAGACGGTTATAATCTGGCTATCAAACGAGCAGGAGTTTTGGAGTGCGTTCGAGGACGAGTCAACTCCACTTAAGCCATCTGGGTTGCAACAGGTAACAACACACTCTCTTCTACCACTCTTATGATCAGATTTGACAGTTCTTGGTTGCATTTTTGCAGTTGATACTGGACATGAACTTCACAGTGGAGATAGCGAGGTTCGCTGGTTATCCATTTAAAGTGGTACAGAACCATGCATCAGTGGTGATCAATAGAGCCATCAACATCTTCTCCTCAAGAGGCATCAACCCACAAAGGTAAATAATAATACATAAACACTCTCTCAACATGGACTTTAACTAAAAGTCTATGTGGTTTTCTTTCAACCAGCTCACTCCCGAAGGCGGAGTGGTTCACGGAAGCAGCTAAGTCAGCTATCAACAGGCTACTCATGGGGTCTGATGAAGCTTCAGAAGCCGAAGAAGAGTATGAGTGTGAAGAGGAAGAAGAAGAAGAAGATGGTCACATAGTTCTCCCTGAGATAGACGATGATGAACACTCAGATTCTCTAGAAACTTCTTCGCTATCTACAATGGACTCGTTTGAATCATTTGCTTCAGCGAGCATGGCTGACCTTGAGAGTCCCAGCTTCACCGACTCTGAGTCCTGACCAGTCTTTGTCTTACGTTGTTATGTTTTGTATCATGTTGTTGTCTCTCAAGTCAAGTTAATTACTTATTTAGTTAGACTCCTTAACCAAATATCCATTTGCAAATTAAATTTCCGGTTAAGGTCGGTTATGTTAACAGTCAAAGCCCATTTGTGGCCCATTTGGTTCTCGAGTGTTCATCAACGATAATAGAAAAAAAAAAATTAAGACATTTGTGGCCCACTTCGTTTGACCGACTCATCTAACCAGATGGCGGGTAAATAAAAAAATTAACCCTCCTCTGTTTTTACTCTCTCATGACGCAGCCACAGAGATTAAAAATCCCTAATTATATACTTTTCTAATAAGTCTCAAAACCACTTATCGAAACCATGTCGGGTAATAGCGGTTGTAAGACATCTTTCTCTTTTTTCTAATATGATGTGTTTAAAAATTTCAATGGGTTACTGGTTTTAATGATTTTATGATTATACTAAAATAATGGTGCTTAAATCTTTTCGTTTTTCATGTACAGTCGTCTTCTGGAGCTTAAAGGATTGCCCAATTCCTGAAAGTCTGAATCCTGGTTCAGTTTGTGCGAATATTAAAAAAGCTCTTGAGAAAAAGGGTTTTGATGGTGCCGTGTTAATCAAGGCTTATTGTGACAATGAAACATTCAGTGATGAATTGTTTGCTAATTATCGCGATGCTGGAATCGACCTCCTTCCTGGTAGAATTTTCTTTTACGTAAATTAATAACACTCTGTTTATTTTTATTTATTTTTTAACTTCAAAAAGAAAAAGAACTTATATTTCCGTGGATATATAGTTCCTGCAGGTGGTAAAACTGCGAGAGATTTTAAGCTGATGTGGGACATGCTTTTGTGTGGAGTGGACAATTATAAAGATTTTTTATTAATCCTAGATCCCTTAGAAGCTGAGTTTGTCAATATTCTTTTCTATTTGAAAGTTAGAGGTTTCAATGTTATCTTAGCATCTCCTGATGACGAGGTCGCCTCAGAGTCCATACTTAGGTCTGTAGGCTCGGTTTGGCTTTCGTCAAGCCTATTGGAACAAGGAAACCCTGACGAACTATCCACCATCCGCATTACTAACTTTGATAACTTCAATTCACCACAAGATTTGGAGGTATGTAACTAAAACATAAGAGTATAGATTGCAACTCTCTTTCATTGTATTCTCACATATTGTGTGTTTTTTTTTGGTTTTCAGGCTTTGGGGACGGTGAGATTGAAGATTGAGCTTCAGTCACGTGGAATGAAATGTGGAGGGACTTTGCAAGGTCGAGCAGCAAGGCTCTTCTTACTTAAATCAACACCACTTGATAAGATCCCAAAGAAATTTTTGGTCAAGAGAAAGTATGTATACAAATGTTCTTAGCAATTGCATTTTCAATTTCCTCCAGTGTATTGGCTTTTCAAACTCTTGTAACTTTAAAAAGGTGTTTGTAACATGCAATCAATCCTCTTAGAGACTTTTCTTCAGCTTCTTGCAAACATATTTGTAGCCTAAATATTATAAATATGAGAACAAACGTCTTCAAGATTCAGCTACACATGTAAATAATTCAAAAAACTGACCTTGAGAGTTGAGAGTTGAGAGTCCTAGCTTCACCAACTCTGAGTCCTGACTAGTCTTCTTATCTTACGTTATTAACGTTTTTATCATGTTGTTCTCTCTCAAGTTAATTACTTTTAGTTAGACACCTTAACCAAAATCCACTTGCAAATTAAATTTCGGTTATGTCAACAGTAAAAGCCCATTTACGGCCCATTTGAGATGACTAGGTTCGCGAGTGTTCGTCAAGTAAAATAGAAAAATATTATTCCGACCATTGTTGACAGGGAGAGAAGATAAAATAAAAGAAGAAAAGTCGTCGCTTTCTCACACTCTAAAAATTTCCTTCCGCTCCAAGGCGGTCTCTCACTTTCCTTCTCTATATATATACCGTCTCCTTCCTCCTCGCTCTTTCCATAATCCCCCTACAGTTTCTCTCTCTCTCTCACCCCTGAGAAATCGAAATCACACCTCTGATTGATTCCAGCAATTGTTCTTCGTTTTCCCCTTCCGTAATTTTTCGTCAGGTATCCGATTTTTTTTCCTCCTTTTGATTAGTTAGTGTGCTTCAATAATCTGATTGAGATTTTTCCCCCCTTTTTGATTAGTGTGCTTCAATAATCTGAATCGAGATACGATTAGTTAGGGCATTTTGATTTTTTAGGGATTATTCGTTAACTCATTTATTACGGGATTTCAATTTTTTTGGATTTGTGTAATTTTAGGCTTTGAATGTGGATGTGTTCGTTTATTTAGGCTTTTAATGTTTGAAAGTTTACTAATTGCTTAAATCTGAATCTTTTGTGTACAGAAAGTGAACTTTATTACATCAACAGTTACGACGGAGAGTACAGGATCTGGTTCTGTGTTTGTGGAGTCAGAGAAGAATATGAGCTCACAAGTCAGAAGAGACAGACCTCAGCAGCAAACATGGGTTCCTAGAGGTGCAGCTACCTCCGTTGTTAATGAGCCTTCTTTACCACCTGCTAATAATACAGACCAAAGTCCACAAAGCCTTGACGCTAGTGTTACTGCTTCACGTCCTCTTCGGCAGCGTCGTCCCTCTTATAACCAGCACCAGAGAAGTAATGTTGTTGGTCCACCTCCTCCACCTAATCGACAGAGAAGAAATAATGCTCCTGGGATTTTACCTGATAATCGCCAAAGAAGAAATAATGCTCCGGGAATCTTGCCTGATAATCGCCAAAGAGTTGCTGCGTCGAGGACTCGGGGGCCTGTGAGTCAGGGGAAGAAGGTGGTTAAGGGGGAGAACGTTGTGTTGACGGACACGAACTTGCCTCAGCTTGTTCAGGAGATACAAGATAAGCTGGTGAAGAGTTCTGTTGAGTGTATGATTTGTTATGACATGGTTGGGCGGTCTGCGAATATTTGGTCTTGCTCAAGCTGTTACTCCATCTTCCATATGCATTGCATCAAGAAGTGGGCTCGAGCACCGACTTCTGTTGATTTGTTGGCTGAGAAGAATCAAGGTGATAATTGGAGGTGTCCTGGTTGCCAGTCTGTGCAGTTGACGTCAGCGAGAGAGATATGTTATCGGTGCTTTTGTGGGAAGAGAAAAGATCCACCGTCTGATCCGTATCTGACTCCACATTCATGTGGGGAGCCGTGTGGGAAGCCGCTGGAGAAAGAGTTTGCTGCAGTAGATGAGATGGAAAAAGATGATCTTTGTCCTCATGTTTGTGTCTTGCAGTGTCATCCTGGTCCATGTCCTCCCTGTAAAGCGTTTGCTCCATCTCGTAGCTGTCCCTGTGGCAAGAAGAAGATTAATACTAGATGCTCTGAGCGGAGATCAGTTATTGTTTGTGGGCAGGGTTGTGAGAAGCTTCTCGACTGTGGGCGTCATATATGTGATAGGAAGTGTCACGTTGGCTCTTGTGATCCTTGTCAGGTGCAAGTAAATGCCACATGTTTCTGCAAGAAAAAAGTGGAGACTGTCATTTGTGGAGAGATGAACGTGAAGGGAGAGTTGAAAGCAGACGATGGTGTGTATTCTTGCAATTTTAACTGTGGGAAGCCTCTTGGTTGTGGTAATCATTTCTGTTCCGAGGTTTGTCATCCTGGACCTTGCGGGGACTGTGACTTACTGCCCAGTAGAGTTAAGACGTGCTATTGTGGAAAAACGCGTCTAGAAGAGCAGATCAGGCGTAGTTGCTTGGACCCAATTCCTTCATGTTCAAACACATGCAGGAAGCTTCTTCCGTGCGGGCTACATACTTGCAACGAAGTTTGCCATTGGGGTGATTGCCCTCCTTGTTTAGTCAAAGTCAACCAGAAATGCCGGTGTGGGTCAACATCCAGGACTGTGGAATGTTACTTCACGACCTCTTCAGAGATGGAGAAGTTTGTGTGCGCTAAGCCATGCGGGCGTAAGAAAAACTGTGGGAGGCACAGATGTAGCGAGCGTTGCTGCCCTCTTTTGAACGCTAAGAAGAATGATCTATCTGGCCCTTGGGACCCACACGCCTGTCAGTTACCTTGTGGGAAGAACCTAAGGTGCGGGCAGCATTCTTGTGAATCGTCATGTCACAGTGGCCATTGTCCTCCTTGCCTCGAAATGATATTCACTGATCTTACATGTGCTTGTGGAAGAACTTCGATTCCTCCACCACTACCATGTGGGACACCTGTTCCTAGCTGCCAGCTTCCATGCTCGATTCCTCAGCCTTGTGGCCACTCTGCTACGCATGGATGCCATTTTGGAGATTGCCCTCCTTGTTCTGCCCCCGTGGAAAAGAAATGTGTTGGTGATCACGTGGTTCTCAGAAACATACCTTGTGGGTTGAAAGACATTAGATGTAACAAGATCTGTGGAAAGACGAGACGTTGTGGCTTGCATGCTTGTGCCAGAACTTGTCATCCAGAACCGTGTGACAGTTACAATGAATCTGAAGCAGTTACGCGTGTTACATGTGGACAGACGTGTGGTGCTGCTAGAAGAGATTGCAGGCACGTGTGTGCAGCCCTCTGCCATCCTTCTTTGCCCTGCCCTGACTCGAGATGTGAATTTCCGGTTACAATTACATGTTCGTGTGGCCGCATAACTGCTACAGTCCCTTGTGATACTGGAGGAGAAAGCGCCAGCAGTCTTCAGGTTCATTCTGTCAATGAAGCCTCTGTTTTGCATAAGCTTCCAACGCCTCTTCAGCCTGTTGATTTGAGCGGAAACCGAATCCCTCTCGGGCAGAGAAAGCTTTCGTGTGATGATGAGTGTGCTAAGCAGGAGCGTAAGAGGGTTCTACAGGATGCGTTTGACATCACAACACCAAATCTTGACTCTTTACATTTCAGCGAGAACTCTTCTATGACAGAGATAATTTCAGACATCTATAGGCGTGATCCGAAGTGGGTATTGGCGGTTGAAGAGCGGTTCAAGTTCCTAGTACTTGGGAAAGCCAGAGGAAGCACAAGTGCCCTCAAGGTACATGTTTTCTGCCCGATGCAAAAGGATAAACTAGACACGGTTAGGCTTCTAGCTGAGAGGTGGAAACTTGGGGTTAGGAACGGAGGGTGGGAGCCAAAAAAGTTTGTAGTGGTTCACGTTACACAAAAGTCGAAACCTCCAACACGGATTATTGGAGCTAGGGGTGGTGCTGTCTCGGTTGGTCACCCACCGTCCTTTGATCCGCTGGTGGATATGGATCCTAGGCTTGTGGTTTCTTTATTGGATCTTCCGAGGGAGGCGAATGTCAATGCGGTGGTGCTGAGATTTGGGGGTGAATGTGAGCTTGTTTGGCTGAATGACAAGAACGCTTTAGCTGTGTTCCACGACCATGCACGAGCCGCCACTGCCATGAGGAGGCTGGATCACGGCTCTGTATACAATGGAGCCGTGGTTGTTCAGAACGCCGCGCAATCTCAGTCACTCAGTAATGCATGGGGTAAACTACCCAGCAGCTCATCTTGGGATGTCCAGGAAGCAAATCCATGGAAGAAAGCAGTGATTCAGGAGAGTGATGAATCCTGGGGAGCTGATGATTCCCCCATTGGAGGATCATCTACAGATACTCAAGCCTCTGCGTGGCGTTCAGCAACAAGCAACACTCCAGTCGTGACCTCAGCTAACCGTTGGAGTGTTCTGGAGCAGGAGAAGCCCAAAACGTCCGCTTTGGAGCCGTTGGTTCAGACAGAAGGGAGCAGCAGTTCAGAAGCTGCCGGTAAACAACTGGCGGAAGGCTCAGGGCAAGAGGTGGTGGATGATTGGGAGAAGGTATGCGACTGAGAATATGCCAATGACGATGACTCTGATTTTTCTACTTCATTTTGCTATGTATTAAAACGGCAGGTTCAGAATTATATAATTTAGACTTTATGCGTTCACAACAGCTGTGGTGAGCTGAGTCTACCCCCCATTTCAGAGCCTAGATGTTATAGTCAACTACTAGACATTTCTGTCTTGGTGTCTTTGACGTTTTGCTTGGTTATGAACTATTAAACTATGATTGTTCAGTTGGCAATATTGTGAAACGGCATGTCTTTTGTTTATTGAAGAAATTTCGTAGTACTTCTGTTTCTTGATGACTACGTAACACAATAAGTAACATTATGAGGTAATAATGTTATTTATTCAGTTATAGCGTGTACTTTCGCTTGAAATTGTGATGTTATGTTGAAATCAATATGAATTTTGAGGAAAAACATCTTTCTGTGTCGAAGTTCGTCCCACTAGCACAAAAAATTGTCTACAACACCATTAGGCAAATAGGAATCTGTTACCAGCAAAGGCCAACTAGTCCAAGGAAGTTGAAAGATTGAAGATTACATTTTAAACTTCAATGTTCCAAGAACCTATCGTAGTTAATCTATAATCCATCAATAAGAATAAGTTTGTGCACATACATACACACATTATATAAATTGTTTTCAGCTCCAACCATGAAAAATATAGTAAGAAGGAAGCTGATGAATCACGTGTACCTAACCAATACATTTTTATATATCCAAACAAATCAATCCGTTCTTCTTCATCTGAAGTAGTACTAAAAGTGTTGGCTTACACCAATAGGAGAGTTCCGAACACAACGGCTTATGATGTGCAAGTACAAAGCGAGCCATACCGTGACAATAACAGAAGCTTTAGCTCCAACATACCCAACCACTTGACGTCCTCTCTCTGTAACCTCTCCCTGAACCACTTCAAAGCTCCTTCTAAACCCTTCTAGTGTCTTCAACATCAAGAATCCAATAATTGACTTCGTAGTTTCCAATGTCACTCTCCCCGTTACATCAAACATAAACCTCCGGTTACTTGGAACCGCCAATGTAGTTGAGATAACATCGGTCCAACCATTTCTCGAGGAACCACAATCGTCTTCTTCAACCTCTTCAATCACGGCACTACTAGACTTTGACGAAGCTGTAGTAAACACTTCATGAGACGTCCTTACAACAGTTTCAAGCGCACCATTACAAACCGAAACAAGAACGTCCTTAACACTATCTCCATGCTTAGGATTCGTCATCCCTTCAAAGATCTGATCAAAAGCATTAATATCCATCGTCTTATCTAAATAAACAGCCACCGCTGTACTAGTAAACCTCTCAATACAATCAGCCAAAAGCTCTCTACACTTATCATCACAAAGCAAACTCAACAACCACTGAGGCGTTGTCCCCCTCCTCTCCTCATCATCACCACGTGTCACCCCCTCATTGGATCGAAACCCGAGAACAAGATTCTTAGCAAAACTACCAACAACAACAGAGAAAAAACCAGAACCAGCTTTCGAGAAAACCTTATCAACAAAACTCGTCTCCTCCGAACCGTTATTACAAGACTCAGACTTTAACCCACGAGAGACACCGACTGTCAAAGCCTGAGAGACCCTCGAGAGAGAATCCGCAAACTCGTCGGAAGTTGCGATCTTCGCGATCTGTTTGAAGCTGTTCGGGATCTCGTCGGAGTCTGAGGTGAGGAAGGAGTTTAGGTCGCGTGAGACGGTGGTCATGGTCTCGGCTGATTCGGAGATTAGTTCGGCGACGGAGAGGAGAGCGGAGAGGAGCTTCGTGAGGCGTCGTCTCTTTCTGGTGACGGAAGGTAGATGGTAGACTTTGTAAGCTCCGTAGCCGGAGACGCCGGAGAGGGCAATCAAAAGGAGCCATTTTTTTCTCCGGTGAGGGGAAAGGAGGAGACTTTTTAGCTCCATTCAACAACGAAGAGAATTATCGAAATGAATTGAATTGAAAGTTAGGGTTTTTTTTTTTTTTTGTGAAATTTATGATCCGAAAATGGAGAAAAAACGGTTCGGAATCTGTTATTGACCGCAACGATAATAGAGGAGACAGAGGAAGAGGTAATGTCTGAAAAAAAAATCAAATTGGCGTGTTGGGGAGAAACAGAGATGAGTGATTGGATTGAGAGGAGAAGCTTGATGACAAGTTGGATAAACGAAAATTATTTTAAAAAAAACAAATATGTCTATTTCCGGTTTGGTTTGATTGGATAATGAGTTATCTACACGCTTAACGACTTTTATATTATGGAATCTTTTCTGGTGGTTATAAGAAATAGTAAAATTTTATTTTGTTTTTTTTTCATTGTTTTATAAGTCGGTGAGTTTTATTTTTTTTATTCGTTGTGTGTTTCTAGCAACAAAATCAAGGATTTGATTGGATAATGAATTTGAGGTGTTTGATACTCTTAATATATTATTTTTCTGTATCTTCAGTATCCGCGTCAATAGTATATCTATTTCTGTAACATTAAAATCTTGTGAATGTGCTTCACGGAAATAAAAATAAAGTAGTTTAGTAGTCAAGTATCTGATAAAATAAGTTGCAAATATTTTTTAAGGACATGTGATGAATGATCGATCATATACTACCATTTTCTTATTAAAATATATGTAATAGACATTTATAAAATGTTACGCATACATCAAATTAAACCATATACGGGATCCGATCTTTTTTCTTAGAATTCGTCGTCTCCTTGACAATTGACATTATAAATTATTATACACAACAACAACAAAAGGTACAGAAAGTTTTTAATATATGTCTCACGACTCTTAATGAAGAACACATCAAAGTTACTGAAGTTCATATCCTTGCGACAATATTACATGTTGTCAATCGAAATCTTGTTATCTACTTTAATTTTGAATTACAAAGGATATGCAGGGATATGTTTTAATATTTATTAGCTCTTTCTAGAAGCATTTGATGGTTTTGCTGTCAGCATGACTCCACATGTTTGGTCTTATGACTCTTATTTAAATTTTGTTATTACAAACCCATCAATTTTTAGTTGCCACACTTGCCGTGTTTTGTGTCCGCACCACGTTTTAATATTATTTAACATGTCTATGAAGCTTAACTAGCCAGTAGTAGGGGAAATCAGAACGGTTTTGAAGTTGGATGTTAAATTTTCAGATAGTTTTTAGCCCTACTATCTCTCTTAAGTAAACCATCAGCAAGTTAGTGTAATTTCACAATGCATCCATGTTAGTACGATATCTCATTTGCTACAAACTATTTAGTGAGAAAATAAAAACTTACAAACTCGGATCAATTAATTTTACTTATGTAATGTTACTGATTAGAGTTTGATCAGTGGGGCCTTGTGACTGCCTCTCTTCAACACTCTTTCCACAATTATGTTTTGTAAACCAACTGTTTTGTATAGATTAAGCCACATTTGATTCTCTCTCAAGTCTCAACTCAATTATTTCTTCTTAAACACTCGTTTTTTAATTACTTCAGAAAATAATTTCAAGACTCTTTATTTAACCACTTCATACTCCAAAACCCCAAACATATCTTCCAGTAGAAAAAAAAAACTAAACAAAAGCCATTTCTCAAAAAAAAAAAAGAACATGAGAAAGGGAGGACAAAACAAGAACATGTTCTTGAGAATAATCTCAACACCTTTTAGAGCCTTAAACAAGTTCTACGTGAGATGCATCACCGGCCGGTTGCAAAAATGAGATCACAAGAATTTAGGGCACAAGAATGAGATCGACATGTTTATACGAGAGAAGCTGCAAAAAGAGAAGCATAAGAGGTTGAAGCAAGGAGGCTTGCCGAAGAGCTCGAGCGTAGGGATGGCTTGTCTTTGATTTATTTCTTACTTTTAGTAATCTGTGGATTCATTATGCTATAAAGTTAGAATGTTATTATTCCACAGGGGTATTAGTGTTACAAAAAATATAATCATAATGATGATCAGTGTTTCACATTCAAAAAGTGAGTGATCAGTTTTTCACTCTACTATGTTTTGCTATATTCAAGTCAATTTTCTGATTTATCATGCGATTTATATAGTTTAATATATATTTTTGTTTTTTTTTTAAAGTTAAATATATTTTTCCCATATGATAATTATGAAAGCAAGGAGATTAGGAGAGGATTATGTCTGTTGTTTTGCCCACCAGTGGCTACATTGCCAACTTAATCTACTTTACCCAATCAAATATTGATGTACGATATGACTATAACTTTTTTTTTTATCAAAGTTACATTTGATCAAAATATAACTAATTACATTTTAGTCTGAAGATTGAAAATATCTTGTTTTCCCATTTTTAATAAATAGGAAAGAGACAGTCTCCTTTTCTTTCTGTCGGGACATGATGTCTCCTAACTCTACCTAATTGTGAACAAAATCAATGTAAAATGCAGTGGGACTTGGGAGACTGATACACAAAAAACATATGTCGAAACACTTGAAGCAGAGCATGACACAAAAAAATAATAATTTCGTGTGGTAGTAGTTGACATCGATTCTCTTTCTCTGTGTTAGTTGTATTATCTATAAAAAGCCCAAACTCTGTATATGACAAAACAAACTAACAAAGCTATGTCTTGTTTTTGACCTTTATCTTTACTTGTCACAACTGAGGCAACAATTGAACAATGCTCTAAATATAACCTTCGACGAATAAACGAACTTATCAACACGAATGCAAACGCACTTGTCCTTCTCAGAAGTTCAATTGATTAAGAAAGGCTCACAAGTCACACCACATATTTTTTCTATGGACTCATCGATGACTACAAGCTTAGTTTTATTGAACTTTATGAGAAGCTTTGCTCAGCTAATCAGAGAATTTCTTAACCAACACAATCATTGGTATACAACACAACGTATTTCACTGACAACTCTGTGAATAGATTGATAGCAGGATAGATTTGTGCTCAACTCATGAAGAGATCTATTCAAATGCAAAAAAAAAGATTAATTTGTCACCAAGATGAGAATGTTTAACACTGAATTCATAT